GGTGCTGCCCTTGGTTGCCCTGCTGATTAGTGATATTTTTACATTCATTTTTTACCTTATTTTAACCGAATTATTTCATTTAAAGAGAGATATTCGCTGTGATATTGCCACTAATGACTAATGAATGTAAAGGATTCCACAAATCCTCTCTTTGACATTTTTCCACGGAAAATGGGCTAAAAAGGGAAGAAATCACGTGGGAGAAAGGAAAGAAAGCAAAATGAAGAAGAAATAAGTCACCAGGAGGTGTCAGAAGACCACCAGAGCGAAAGACAGCATTCCATGCGACCACACGCACTCGCATGAGTGGTCGTTTGGCATGAAAACCGAGGCGGGTCGTCTACCTGAACAGCTTTTATTAAGGGGACCCCATCAAACTGTCAAAAGAACAAGAGAAGGAGGAGGGTCGAGCACAGCCAGAACATGTTCATCATCTTCATTCATAAACCCTAGCCGCCCCAATTTTCACCTCCATAGCATCTCCATCTCCACCACCATAGTCCTCTCTCATCTAGTACATACTTATAATCGTGCATCACACAAGGCATTCATTGTAAGACATATTGCAATCAGTCAATCCCAAAATGTGTTCTTCAATGTTTTTTTCTCGCGATCTGATCTCCATGTGTGAGTAGTCCGGTGAGGTATAGGGTGAGGCATGAGCCTTGCAACCCCAAGTATTTAGTGAACTTTTTTTCCCGATGGTTCATTTTGTGTTATGTCCAGAGGTCAGATTTGTCATTTTTGCATTGAAATGATCCGCTCTAGCACTGCCTCCAACTGTCACAAAGAAAATTAACCCCGACAAGGCGACAACGCAGTGTACTACCAAGTACAAGAGGTAAGCAAAATCAGTACGGGGCACATTGCTGCAGACTGCAGAGAGCGACTCAACAGCATACTGTATCTCCAACCAAATCGAACGGGGCACCTTGACGCAGACATCACCTGGCAGCAGTACATTGCCAACTCATGGTTGGAGACTTCCGGAGGCCGGACAGAACAAAACTAGCTGCGACATGGATGACGCGCCCAAGCCATGCCCTAGACCCCGTACATGACACATTTTTGTCGTTTGTTAGTAGAAGAAGGGACCTAATCTCGTCACCTACAACGTTGGCAGCACGACCGTGCGTGTTACGGGCGTTGACAAGCAACACGCTCGTGAGCATTATCTTTCACACGCCGTTAATTAGAATATATCAGCCCGCGGCTGCACGCGTGACATTTTATACATTATTGTCGGAATGTTGCTGGTGAGAACGGGGTCCAGTGATGCAACACGATGCGGCCCGATCGTCCCTTTTTCGATCGGAACCGGATGTAGACACGTGATCGGAATCGGAGAAGCGGAGGCGTGTGGGCTGTGGGCTGGTGCCGCAGGAGTAGCCGCCTCCCGGACCCGGGCGGAACACGGGGTCGATGACCGGAGTGATTTCGAGTTCGGCCGGGGTTCGGCGTGCCGCGATCGGCACAGTTCCGGACAGCCGGAGGCCCGACCCGTTGCAAACCTGCAAGGCCGTTGCCGTTGGCAGCCACAATACGTGAACAATCTGTGGAGAGTTTCCATCGGAGTGCAGGCACAGTTATCGAGGCAGTTAAAGGTATTTTTCTCTCGGGTTGGACTGCCCAAGACAAGCACGCAATTGCCACGTGCCAGCTACCTCCTCCGCTCCTATTAAAGGCGGGGCAGCCTGCCTACCACGCCCGCTCTCGCTCAAATCATAATCGCGAACCTGCAGCGATCGACAACAAGAGCCAGAGCCGCAGCAATAATAAAGAAAGAAGAAGAAGCGAGAAGATTCGATCGGCCATGGCGGGATCGCGGCGAGGTGGCGACGAGGAGGCGTGCCGGGTCGGCCTCCTGGACGGGCACGGCGGCGCCAAGAAGGATGACTGGCAGGTGGTCGCCGGTGGCGAGGAATCCAGCAAGCTCGGGAGGCGGGTGTTGGAGGAGTCGAAGAAGCTGTGGGTGATCGTGGCGCCGGCCATGTTCAGCCGCATCGTCACCTTCAGCATGAACGTCATCACGCAGGCCTTCGCCGGCCACCTCGGCGACCTCGAGCTCGCCGCCATCTCCATCGCCAACACCGTCGTCGTCGGCTTCAGCTTCGGCCTCATGGTACGCACGCGCCAACCTGCTGCCTCAGCCTGTCTCCGTTCTAATTCATTCGTTTCCCTGCTGCTCTGTTTCGAATCGTCGTCGTCCTTTTCGATCTATCTTTGGGGGCTGGGCCTCCCAATATGGCTAGGATTTCTGCTCCTCCAGCGCAGCAGAATTACAATTCAAATTCACCACTTCCCAATAATATTAAAAGAAAAGAAGATTTTTCCCACTACTTAGTTACCAATTTAGCACTATGGGTTGCCATACTAGTCCACGTTGCTCTTCGGATCAGTGGCAAGGAAAGGAACGTGAGCTGAAGCTAGCGAGCACCTCTGCTGCCCACTCGATACTTGCGGTGCATGCAGTACGTGTCCCTGCATAGTAGGGACCAGCCAGTGTTTTTGTCCTACCCCTCGTCACTGACATGTGGGCCCGGGACACCGCGACGAGCGTCAGGAGTGACGTACTCCTACTAGGTATACAGGGACGCCGAGAAGATTTCTCTTTCCTTTTTCATTTTATGTAGAAAGATAATAAGAAACGAACAAGCATTGGGATTCCCTCGCCGTGGTTTGGATTTAGCGGGCGGAGGCCTACTACGGGCGCCTCCCCTATTTTGCATTAGAACGAACGTCCCGCCGATTTGTTTAGCGAGCAGCTCTGTCGAATCCGCACTAAATGCTGCTAGCTCCGACTGGCAGGCACCCATTGACTTGTGCATCTCGCACGCACACTTGGCTAAACGCAGATTAAACTTGTTGGAAGAGTATCTCAGCATCTCACACACTTGGCCAGCCCATGAAACAAAGACTTGCAACGACCTGTGGAGAGCATTTTTAATCGCACAAATCGAAATGGGGAGGCGTCATTCTCCATTGTCCACTCTCAGTTTGATCCGGAAAGCAGCTCGAGAGAGAGGTGGAGGAGCATAGATGCGAGAAGGCACTGGACGGAGTTCTCGGTCCCGTGGTCGAGACTGAAAGGACGGATCTCCAGATTCTTAGCCTAGCTTTCTACCTTGTCGGCACCCTCCGGATAGGGACAGATCCCGCCGCTCTCCGCTCGTCGAGATTGTTTGTCTCCACTGAATGAGACCTTTCTAGGAGATCATGCATGTCGTGCATGTGGTATCGGTTGATCCTTCCCATAATTTGTGTTTTACATTCAGGGTAGATATATAAATTGCAGTTTTGCTAGAATTCATCTAGATGAGATATAATTTGGTCTTATTCACTTTTTATAGCCATTGGATGTGATGCTATAAGATGCGTGTGTGCTGACGTGGGTTGTATTTGTTCTTGTTTTCAAAGTGAATGAGACCAAATTATATCTCATCTAGATGAGTTCTAGGTACTCCCTATAAATTGTGTTTTAGATTTAAGGGTACTATCTGTTTATTTTTGGAAATGTTAGCTGGCTGACGTTCTTCGAACCGGTGCCAGATTCTCTTGTAAAAGAAAAAAATGCCTTCTCCGAAAGAAATTGTCATGCTATTCTGAAGAAGTCGACATCCATCTATAACCAAAAAAAACTGCCATCAAAATGGTTCGCAAATGCCAAGCCCTCCTGGTGAACGTCCGTTGGCTATTGGGGTTCTTATTTTTAGTTTTTCAATTTATACTGAACTTTGACACTAACTCGTCGCGACGTGCAGCTTGGCATGGCGAGCGCGCTGGAGACGCTGTGCGGGCAGGCGTTCGGCGCCAAGAAGTTTCACATGATGGGCGTCTACATGCAGCGCTCCTGGATCGTGCTGCTCGGCTGCGCGGTGCTGCTCCTCCCCATGTACTTCTTCGCCGAGGACGTGCTGCTGCTCACGGGGCAGTCGCCGGAGCTGTCGGCCATGGCCGGCAGGGTCTCCGTCTGGTTCATCCCGCTCCACTTCTCCTTCGCCCTCCTCTTCCCGCTGCAGCGCTTCCTGCAGTGCCAGATGAAGAACTTCGTCAGCGCCGCCGCCTCCGGGGTGGCGCTCTGCGTCCACCTCCTCGTCAGCTGGCTCTTCATCACCAGGTTTCAGTTCGGGCTCGTCGGCATCGCGCTGACGCTCAACTTCTCCTGGTGGGCCACCTTCGCCATGCTCTTCGGCTACGTCGCCTGCGGCGGCTGCCCGGACACGTGGCACGGCTTCTCCGTCGAGGCGTTCGCCGACATTTGGGAGTTCGTCAAGCTCTCCGCCGCGTCAGGCGTCATGCTATGGTACGTGCTTCTGCCGATCTACTTTTTTTTAGTAGACTTGTACTACTGATCTACTGACATACCACTATGCTGCTTGCATGTGTTTTTCTTTTTGATTGATTCCCGCCCGTACAATGTGAAGAAAGTCAAATCATCGGGCATCAGATCTCAGACGCATGCATATTATTTACTTTGATAACGACACGGTCAATACAAATAACATTTCATCCATGTGGGACTGACAATTTTTTGTTTCTTGTGCAGCTTGGAGAACTGGTACTACAGGGTACTCATCTTGCTGACAGGGAACCTGAAGGACGCGGCTATTGCGGTGGATGCGCTCTCCATCTGGTAACTATTCCTCTTCCTCCATCGGGTGCTAGTTTTCAGTACCCTCGAGAAGTACCCGTTGGCTATTCGAATACTAGTATCTAGAATAATTTGTAGCACTCATTCAGTACCAGTTTAACAAGTCTTGCTCGACGGTGATTCTGACAATGCAAATGCTCTTTCCTTTTTGTTGCTTGTGGACAGCATGACCATTAACGCATGGGAGATGATGATTCCGTTGGCGTTCTTCGCGGGCACTGGGTAATCACCACCGTCTTGCTATGCACATTTTGTGCACCTGTTTATGCCTACTGAATGAACAACAGAGTTCAGCATACAGAAGTCTGCATGCTAATTTAAGTACACGTCGCTGCGTCATTTGCAGAGTGCGGGTGGCGAACGAGCTGGGCGCCGGGAACGGGAAGGGGGCTCGGTTCGCGACGATCGTGTCGTCCTTGACCTCGCTGGTTATCGGGCTCTTCTTCTGGGTGCTCATCATGGGCCTCCACGACAAGCTGGCGCTCATCTTCACCTCCAGCGCCGTCGTGCTGGACGCCGTCAACAACCTCGCCATCCTGCTGGCCTTCACCATCCTGCTCAACAGCATCCAGCCCGTGCTCTCAGGTACCCCCAGGCCCAGTGGAACCTTTTTTATCATCCTGCCCGTACTCCTGTTATGGGCCTTTGTCAACAATGAGCAGAATTCATCAGGGTCATGTTTTTTCTGAAACGCAGGTGTGGCTGTTGGGTCTGGCTGGCAATCCGCGGTGGCCTACGTCAACATCGGCAGCTACTACCTCATCGGCGTCCCCATGGGTGTCCTCCTCGGGTGGCTCTTCAACCTTGGCGTCCTGGTACGTGCTAGCTAGTACTACGAGTACATCTCTCTCGTTTTAGGTAGAGCTTTCAAGCTTGGTCGTTGCCATGGTTGCTTTTACGCTTCGGTCTCGGCGCCGCACTGACGACTTTTGTGTGCGAAATCTTTTGCAGGGAATCTGGGCGGGGATGATCGGCGGAACCGCCGTCCAGACGATGATCCTGGCCATCATGACCGTTCGCTGCGACTGGGAAAAGGAGGTGAGTGAGCAAACCGGCTGAAAATCGGGGGTATTTGCGTGTAGTTGGGTGGTGGTAGTGCAGACTACTGATGCGTTTTTTGACTTGGATGTCACTGGCAGGCCATGGTCGCGAGCACACGGATGGACAAGTGGTCCGAGGTCCGGTGATCGGAGAGCTACGAGAGCAAGTTCCCTCTAAGGTACAGGCATCGTTCCGGCCTGCCGGTCTTGTACGCGCGCGTGGAAACCATTACTCCTGCGCGCAGCTCGGCGGGCTCGTCGTCAGATATGTCCTCTGGATTGAAGGAAAAAGATGGCTGTGGTGTTGCATACTTCACACTCTTGCGAGGAAAGCAGGCTTCGCGCAGTTTTGTATTTGTTTTGATCTTGTGGTGTATACATTCTTGCTGTTCGTATCCAAGCAATACAAGTTCGGCTAGTTGGAATGAAGCTTGGCCAATTTTTTTCACTTGGTTTCCTTCTTCTCGAGGCTATTTTTTACAACTCCTCGATTTTGATTTAGCTATCTCAAGATTATAAAAACAAAACAGAAAAAAGAAATGAGCTGCTCGTTGATTTTATCAATTTCTCCTGATTGGAATATCACATGAAAACCAAATTTCGGTGCACGGAAACATCGCTATTCTTTGCTGAAATCTTTTTATAGCTCGCATCCCATAATGTGTTTAAACTTAAACTAGCAAACATGTCTGTGCGTTGCACCGGGAGAGATAATTAGCGTGACTACCAATTCGTCCATCAACGCGACACGCAGCATTCAGACGGTGCCACCTGATGGTAGCAGGGAGGCATACACCAAGGTCGCACTAAGAACCTGAATTCTTTTTATAGCTCGCATTCCATAATGTGTTTGAACTTACACTAGTAAACATGTCTGTTCGTTGCATCGAGAGAGATAATTAGCGTCTCTACCAAATCGTCCATCAACGCGACACGCAGCATTCAGACGGTGCCACCCGGAGACAGGGAGGTGTCCAGTGTCCACCAAAACGTCCATCAGCGTGACACACCAACATCCTAACGGTGCCACCTGATGGTAGCACGGAGGCGTACACCAAGGTCACACTGAGAACCATACGGACTTCTGGTACAACTTGTGTATGACAGTTCTCCCCGCAAAAAAAAAAAGTGTATGACAATTCTGTTCAAACTAAATACGAATATCAAAGCTCAACAAAGTCAGTAAATTGACTATCGACGTAAAGCGTACCTGAGGAGTCCTGAATAAGGGGTATCCGGACAGCCGGACTATATACTTTGGCCGGACTGTTGGACTGTGAAGATACAAGACAGAAGACTTCGTCCCGTGTCCAGATGGAACTCTCCTTGGCGTGAAAGGCAAACTTGGCGATTCGGATGTAGATCTCCTCCTCTGTAAACCGACTCTGTGTAACTCTAGCCCCCTCCGGTGTCTATATAAACCGGAAGGTTTAGTCCATAGGACACAACAACAACCATACCATAGGCTAGCTTCTAGGGTTTAGCCTTTTTGATCTCGTGGTAGATCAACTCTTGTAATACTCATATCATTAAGATCAATCAAGCAGGAAGTAGGGTTTTACCTCCATCGAGAGGGCCCGAACATGGGTAAACATCGTGTCCCCTGCCTCCTGTTACCATTAGTCTTAGACGCACAGTTCGGGACCCCCTACCCGAGATCCGTCGGTTTTGACACCGACATTGGTGCTTTCATTGAGAGTTCCTCTGTGTCGTCGCTGCAAGGCTAGATGGCTTCTCCAACCTTCAACCACGCTGCCCTAGATGAGACTTTTCTCCCCGGACAAATCTTCGTGTTCGGCGGCTTCGCACTGCGGGCCAACTCGCTTGGCCATCTGGAGCAGATCGATAGCTACGCCCCTGGCCATCAGTTCAAGTTTGGAAACCTAAACTACACCGCCGACATCCGCGGAGACTTGATCTTCGACGGATTCGGGTCCGTGTCAGGTGCGCCGAGCAATCACGAGGAGCATGATCTAGATCTGTAGTCGGACAGTATTCAGAACATCGCACCTGCTACAGCTCCGGACTTCGTTCCAGAGCAGGTCTTGCCTTCCAAGGACGGGTGGATGGACCCCGCCCCGGAGGCCGCACACTCATCGGCGTTGGAGCCGAACACAGACTCCCCTCCTCAGGAAGTCTGTACCTCCGGACCCCCGGACTCATCTCCGATAGTGTGTTCCGGACTACGCGCATCCGTGCCCATCGAATCTAATTGGGCTCCAGTCATGGAGTTCGCCGCCGCGGATATCTTTCAGCACTCACCCTTTGGAGACGTGCTGAATTTATTAAGGTCTCTCTCTCTTTGTGAGGAGACTTCTGACCGAACTATGTCCGTCTCGAGTGGGAAGTTGGCGACGAAGAAATTCGTTACCCACCCACCACCCACTTAATAGCCATGGTCGATGATTTGACCGACATGCTTAACTTCGACTTCGAAGACATCGACGGTATAGACGACGATGCGGGAGAAATACAGGAACCACCGCCCACGGGGCGCTGGACTGCCACCTCTTCATATGATATATATATGGTGGATACTCCCAAAGAAACCAGTGGCGATGAGGCAACGGGAGATAACCCCTCGGGGAAGAAAGCAAAACATGGGCGTCATCGACGCCGCTCCAAGCCTCGCTACAACAATACCGACACTGGAGAAGAAAATCCAGATGGCATCGAAGAGGAATATGATCCTGATCAACCCACCTTCGAGCAAGCCGAACAGGAACACGGGCAGGCTAGCCCAGACGAACAGGCGACAGACGGATACTTGGAGGACGATAACTATATGCCTCCCTCCGAAGACGAGGTGAGCCTCGGTGACGACGAATTCGGCGTACCAGAGGATCCCATAGAGCAGGAGCGCTTCAAGCGCAGGCTTATAGCCACTGCAAGAAACCTGAAAAAGAAGCAGCAGCAGCTCCAAGCGGACCAAGATTTGCTCGTAGACAGATGGACCGAAGTCCTGGCGGCCGAAGAATACGGACTCGAACCCCCAAGCAGGGGATACCCAAAGCATAAACTGCTAGAAGAAGAGGCCGAAGAGCCTGAACTTCTAGCACAAGATGAGGCTGACCGACCACCACGTGGCCGGGATAAAACGGCATGTCAGGCTGGACACCAGCCCGCACCCCCACGCCGGTTCACCACGACCCGGGGTAATACGCAGGACCTGCGAGATATACTGGAAAACAATGCAGGACAACCAAGATCGATCTACGGATCACGAGGGCGCGCCACAGCTCAGGACACCGATTGTCACGCCGGATACAATATTGATCAATCCGGTCGGGCCGGACATTACCGACCAGACCTAATCGGACTACTCCGCGACATAGCCCGGCACAGAGGCGCCACACACCCCCTCTGCTTCACTGACGAAGTAATGGAACATGAATTCCCATAAGGGTTTAAACCCGTCAACATCGAGTCATACGATGGCACAACAGACCCCGCGGTGTGGATCGAGGATTTTCTTCTCCACATTCATATGGCCCGCGGTGATGACCTACATGCCATCAAGTACCTCCCACTCAAGCTTAAAGGGCCAGCCAGACACTGGCTGAATAGCCTGCCAGCAAACTCTATTGGCAGCTGGGAAAACCTTGAGGACGCATTCCTTGATAACTTCCAAGGTACCTATGTGCGACCACCGGATGCTGATGACTTCAGTCACATTACCCAACAGCCCGGAGAGTCAGCCAGGAAATTCTGGACTCGGTTCCTAACTAAAACGAACTAAATTGTCGACTGTCCGGACGCCGAGGCCCTAGAGGCCTTTAAGCATAATATCTATGACGAGTGGCTTGCCCGACACCTCGGCCAAGAAAAACCGAACACCATGGTGGCACTCACGACACTATGACCCGGTTTTGCGCGGGGGAGGACAGTTGGCTGGCTCGCAGCAACACAGTGCCAGGAAACCCTGGCACCTCAGATACCCGTGACAGTCACGAAAAGCCACGGTGCAATAGACACAAGCGTCGAAACAACGGCGACAATGCGGAGGATACGGCAGTCAATGCCGGATTCAGCAACTCCAAATCCGGTCAGCGGAAGAAGCCATTCAAAAGAAACAACCCGAGATCGTCCAGTCTGGACCGCATACTTGACCGCTCGTGCCAGATTCACGGCACCCCCGATAAACCAGCTAATCACACTAACAGAGATTGTTGGGTGTTCAAACAGGCCGACAAGATAAATGCTGAGAACAAGGACAAGGGGCTGCACAGCGATGATGACGAGGAGCCCCGGCGTCCGAACACCGAAGGACAGAAGAAATCCCCACCCCCCACCCCAGGTCAAAACGGTGAACATGATCTATGCCACTGACATCCCCAAACGAGAGCGAAAACGTGCACTTAGGAACGTCTATGCGATGGAGCCAGTCGCCCCAAAATTCAACCCATGGTCATCCTGCCCGATCACCTTTGATCGTAGGGACCATCCGACCAGCATCCGTCATGGCGGCTCAGCCGCATTGGTCCTTGACCCAATCATCGACGGATTCCACCTCACGCGAGTCCTCATGGACGGTGGCAGCAGCCTGAACCTGCTTTATCAGGACATAGTGCGCAAAATGGGGCATCGACCCGTCACGGATCAAACTGTTGGAAATATGCCCTAGAGGCAATAATAAAAGTATTATTATATTTCATTGTTCATGATAATTGTCTTTTATTCATGCTATAACTGTATTATCCGGAAATCGTAATACACGTGTGAATACTTAGACCACAATATGTCCCTGGTAAGCCTCTAGTTGACCAGCTCGTTGTGATCAACAGATAGTCATGGTTTCCTGACTATGGACATTGGATGTCGTTGATAACGGGATCACATCATTAGGAGAATGATGTGATGGACAAGACCCAATCCTAAGCATAGCATAAAAGATCGTGTAGTTCGTTTTGCTAGAGCTTTGCCAGTGTCAAGTATCTCTTCCTTCGACCATGAGATCGTGTAACTCCCGGATACCGTAAGAGTGCCTTGGGTGTATCAAACGTCACAACGTAACTGGGTGACTATAAAGGTGCATTACGGGTATCTCCAAAAGTAGCTGTTGGGTTGACACGGATCGAGACTGGGATTTGTCACTCTGTATGACGGAGAGGTATCTCTGGGCCCACTCGGTAATGCATCATCATAAT